CGAGAGCTTTGCCTAAGGCAGCGTTCAAAGTTGGCGATTGTAGCGATGAGGAAAGTAGGCGATTGGGCGCTCAGTGGGCGGAGCGAACGAATCAGTACCTATCCTTCTATTGTCGCCTACTCGCCTAATCGATACGTATACTTTCTTTCCGAATAATCGTCTAATCGCATGTACGATCACCAACTCTCAATGCTGTCTAGGGCATTGAGGGGCTAGAAGACGCCCTCGAGACTCAATTTGCCCATCACTGGGGTCGTATCTAGCACATGTCCGACGGCTCCCCTCCCATCCATCGCTGGCTAGGAGGCTTAGCCCCGGGGTTGTAGCGCAGGTGGCCCCTGAAAACGTGGCGAGGACTTGTCTAATCTTGTTATTTCCTGTCTTTTATCTTCTTCACTTCAATGAGGAAGTTATTTCACTCAATACCGTTGGCTCATCCAAGTCTGGAACCTATGGTCATGAAGGGTATGTTTTTTGGGCTTCTGACCGTTTCTCTTTTCTTTGCCGGAGGCATTCTTGCATATTGCAACGGTATCCATTATAGTCACCTATAATCCCAGTACGGATACTGTGGTTATTATTTTTTAGTCTTGACCTCGATGCGCGTCGATATTATAAACAGTATTTAGAAATCTCAGAATTTCATGATCGAAAGCCCATGCTACATTTACTTACTGGGTTTACGGGACGATCCTTCTGAATACAGTCGTGGCTATCGCAAGATACGGGGGCATTGTTGTGGCAATGCATTCAAAACTGCGTAAAACATCTCCTTTTTGTTAAAAAATGGGACTAAGCCTTAGGCGGGGAGGAGAGAATCCAGGGTGCGTGAGCATTTTCATTTCTCCCCGAAATTCCTCCCCTCCTAGGCTTGGTTCTAGAGGATGCCCCGTATCTTGCGATAGCACCACAGTCGATCTTTTGTGTATTTTAAAGCAACAGTCCCAGCAGGGTTTTTACCTTCGACACTAATGGTGTGGAACGATGCGCTAGCCCTAGTCAAGAACATAAGAAGTGTGACTGAACAAAAAACTCACCTTGGAAAGCCGCTAGAAAGGGAGCTGAACGGCTTCGAAGTGGGCGTGGTTGGAATCGGCCGAGGGGACTGCACAACCACGCCCACTTCGAAGCTGTTCAGCTCCCTTTCTAGCGGCTTTCCAAGGTGAGTTTTTTGTTCAGTCACACTTTATGTTCTTGACTAGGGCTAGCGCATCGTTCCACACCATTAGTGTCGAAGGTAAAAACTGCTGGGACTGTTGTTTTAAGCATTTGGTCGCAAAGAAAAATTGTTTTCATGCGAGGCAATCCTTCCAGTCAGTTTGGGGCATTGGCGAAGGTAGAAAAGCTTGAACATTTTTGATCTGCTTTTGAATAGACAGGTGACAAGAATCGGGAGGGGGAAAACAAAAATGGATCAGGTGGAGCGTTCGGAGATTAAGGTTGGAGCATTGTCTAGGTCGATTCAATCGGTGTTCGTTTCTTGACTATTAGGTGCTGGGCCACGGCATAATCGTGAAGGAAAACTACCATTTAGCGATTTGAGGCAATTATTCCCGTCTCTGCATCGAACAATCGCCCGAACGCCCCAATTATGGACTGTAGGTTTCAGCGGAGACTTTTGTTCCGCTCCGAACGTTTATGATGCATCACACCTTTCATATTGCACCGTTTCTCTTCTTCCTGTAAAGGTTTGGCACTATTGCACCACTACAACTCCAAAAAGAGTCAGAAAATGTTTTCAAAGTAGTTGTCGATAGTGGTCACCCAGTGGCTCTAACCACGATCGACATGGGTTTTTTGACGTTGACCACCGCGTGCCAGTTCGCGCAAATCTGGCGCTATAACTTTTACCACCAAATTCCCTAAAACCCTTCGTGTGGTGGTTTTTTGACGTCCTAGTTAGGAATATTACACCTGCCGAATATAACGCTGGCGCCATCTGGCGTCAGCTTGATGCGGCTCGAAACCAAATCAGCATCAGCCGAATTCGACTTGAGAACTTGATGCCGGGTGGAATGGAGAGAAATTTTGGTCTACCAACTAAATAAAGTTCTACTCAATTTTCCGATTGCCATGCTAACGTGAGTACATTACTGTCTCGCACTAATTCAGAGGCACATCGTGAGTGCCTCTGACTTAGTGCGTGGCAGTGGTGTAGTGGTAAGTGGCACGCTTACCACGCGAGCGGTCCGGGGATCGGTCCTGGGTCGCCCGGGCCAACCAAGCCTCCGGGGTCGGTTAATTGGTACCAGACTTGTCTGGGAGGATAAAAACACTGACTTGTACATCGGCTGGCCCCCGCAAGTCATTGTATAGGCCACATCGCATTCAAATGCCACTACGAATGTACAAATGGAAGTAGAATGCGTGCCGCATCCCAAAATCTTACGGCAAATGCTTTATCCCCTTTACCTTAGGGGGTCCCAATGCGACTCCTTCCACCACCACCACCACCACACGTCAGGGAATTCACCCTCTGCTCCCCACCCCGATAACCATCAGCAGCTCACCGCTTTCTCTGTTTTTATAGCATTTGATCCTGAGACCTCGACACATTACAAAGTCGGTATCGAAATTTCCTCTGAAACCTCTGTGGAGCGAGAGGATGGGGAGCAAGGAAATGGAAGGGGAAGGAGGTAAATACGATCGAAGGAAACGAAATACTTCACAGTGTTTGTTGTGTGCTTTCGTCACTTTTAGCCAGGAATCAAGAGTCTGATCAAAAAGAGCCCCTTATCCCCAAATACGACTCCTTCGTCCTCAAAAATGCGCCTTCCCGGTCATTCTTCCCAGAGAGATGGTTAACATCGGTTCAACCTCAGGTACTCGATCTCCCCCCGTTTTAACTATCCGAACGAGCGGTTTATTCCAATCAGGAGCAATTTTTGTAAGCCCGCGGCGAGGCGGGCCGCCCCCCCCCACCCACCCCCCCCACGTGAAATGGCTAGGATTTTTTTCACAAAGTTGGACCACAACTCTCTGAATATTCCGCGGAATACACTATAAAACACGAGGTCTCTTACTGAAACTACTGACAAGTAGCGCAGCACGACGGAGTCTGGGGGGGGGGGGGGGGGAAGGCACAGTTTTGCGTCCATGTTGATGGTCGGGAGACAGTCGTGTTGCCATTATGGTGCATTAACTGCATATTCACGCAACAAAAGGAAAATAAATAACCTTAATTTTGCTCATTTAAATGTACTGTTTTCGTAGCGCTTCAAAATGTTTCTCGTTTTTTTGGATCAGGGTTAATTTCGATCGAGTTTCGGCTATTTTCGAGATCTCATCTCAGGGTGCTCTAATATCTAGAAACACCCGCCACTATTTTTAAAAAGGTGGTGAAGGCTAGATTGTGACTCCCTCTGAAGTCACAACATGACTCTCCTCCCTGCTGGGGGAGCCTGGGTTTGGCTTTACTTTTCTTTAATCCGCACTCAGAACGCTATAGTTCGTTCTGTCTGTGAATTTCTGGAGCGCATCGATTTTTCGTTACATTCGTTTCCAGTTCTTAATGGAATGCAGTCAAGTGAGAGATAAGGCGAATCAAAGTTTGAACATGAAGTGTTTCGTAAGTTGTTCCGAGGGTTGGCCGAAAACGGCAACTAGTAACTCAACTATTTTAACTTTTGACGAAAGACGAAACTCGATGTCGATCATGCTGGAACATGTTATTGTAGTACTCTCATCATTCTTATCATTTTCTATGACGTAATCAGCCGTAGGTGTGTATGGAACGCTCTTCCTACCGGAGGGATAGTAAATAAGTTACCCCTACTCTTCGATCGTCGTTCCCCTTTCTTCTCAGAGATGACCCATTCTGGTTTTTCGATAATCTCGCAAAGAAGTATTAAATCACCTGCTTTAGGTGAAGCTGTACCTTCCACTTCTACAAGTATGGGTAAGAAACAATTCTTTTTCTCACCTTGATTTTCCACCTAACTTTGTGCGTTTCAAGGACACGATGCAGTGCAAAGCTGTAATTGCCATTCGACCAAGTGTTTCCTTTACGCAGCAGGTTTTGTACTTGGCGGAGCCGCTATTGGCTATTTCGTGAGTTTTTTTCCTAACTTGCTTAATTTCACACTTTAGTCCGATGACATCCAGGGTTGCGCGTTGTAGCCGGCTGCCATGAATATCCATCACTTGACAGCGAGCATAGCACGCGGCCTAGAGGATGCATTGCACGGCATAGGACTGCACGGTGCCGCAACATGAGCCTCCTGACGACATCCGTTCACCTACATGCCGCCACCATTTTGAACGCTAGTCTGTTCGCACTGGAGCGGTACAGCAAAAACGGTCAGCCAAAACAGGCCCAAGCTCAAGAGTATATTGGAAGAATGAATTCGGAATAATAACACTTCGTCGTGGGATGGACCCATGGTCGGTATATTGCCGAACCAGAGGATCCAGGCCACGAACAAAATGCTGTCATAGCTGTCACTATCACTTTTTCACTTCTCAGTCTTTAGTAGTCCTTGATAGTGGCAAAGAGGAAGCAAGATCATTTGATGTGGTGACTCCCAGCAAGAATTATTTTGCTCGTGGAAGCTTGGAGTAAGCTCTTACGGCGGCACGCATGGTTTACTTGGAATATTCGGCTCAATAGTCAATTCATCTCTTTTTTTATCTCCTTCAAGACGCTGAGGCAATGCATTTTTTCAAACAAAATCTCACTTTTCAAGATGGTTAACTGGGGTGAATATAGCGATTTTTCCTTTCGCTGAGAGCCAGGCATAATTTGGGGAACTTGGCGCTACATAGCGGTGCAAAGTTTTTTTGCTCGCCGTTGCTACGGAGCAACGAACGGGCAGAGAAAAATTCTTCTCCCACAGCAGCATGTTCTCCAGAACATCTCAGATATAATTGTTTGTGACCCCATGGCGATGTCAAGACTTTGCGATGGAGCCGAATTTTCTTGCACATTGCCAGGAGCGACCGGGAGATTTACACCGCCGACTCACCGATACATTCGGCGCCGCAGCTCGTAAATCTCCCGTCGCTCGCACTTTGGAGCGACGGATCGCTCAAGCGATCCATCGCTCGGGCCGTGATGTGCCTCCTTGGCCGTTGTGGCAGGGAGCTGCGAGCGACGGGAGATTTACGAGCTGATGGCGCCGAAATTATCGTATGGTCAATCGCAAAGTCTGACTTCGGCCCTTGCGTTGAAAAAAAAAGAGCGCTGCCGCATCAGCGTAGCAAGCGAGACCAAACTATGCCACTATCTTCAGGCCGGCCGACCAGTTCGAGCGCCGATTCAAAAAGGCGAGTCCTGGGAGGCAGGCTATTGGGCATTCCCCTCAACTTGTGACTTTTTTTTGTTACTCTTTTTTCTCTGAAAATGGACAATCCTCGAAAAGTATGACTCGCCGTGTGTTGCCGTCGAAGCAGAGTCGGAGCTTTCACTAGCTATTCGTGCCGAACACAACCATATCTAGTGGGTTGTAGCGCTTTTTGCTGTGGTGAAACGTGAACATAAGCAGAGTTTCATCGTGTTTCTTTCAAACAGCGGTTTTTGTGAGCTTTGTTAACATATTGATAACGCACCTTGTGGTACATACAGTAAATGGTAGATCTGCATTAGTGGAATGTATTTCAGATTGGGTACAAGTTGGCTATGCGCAGGGCTCGAGTAAACGCAAAGGTTCAACTTGCAAACGACAAGGTATTGTGTTGTTTTTCTTCTACTTTCGGAAAACTTTCATTACAGCTCAATTAAGTGGTAAAATATGTACTGAAATGTTTTTGTTTCTTTTGAGGTAGTTGATACCGTCGATGTGGAAGATATCGGAGAGAAGAAAGCCTTCTGTCGATGTTGGAAAAGTGAAAAGGTTGGTAAAATCTATTGTAAATTCTGAGAGTTGAGCTTTTTGAGTAGTACAACCCCTGTTATAAAATGGTACACATCTCGTCACGTGAGTGATTCGTTCCTTTACATGATTCGCAGAGATTCACTCGCTTTCCGAAGTATCTAGAGAACCTTATGGAGCTTCAACCTTCATCTTCTGAATGGTTCATAGAACGGTGAAGACTGGGAGGTTGAAAACTCCATGGCACTCTAGATACTTCTTCCTATGTTGGTTCCCATTTGAAATTTTTACCACTCGCTAACTCGAAGGCCATTCTCAAACTTTTTGTCGACTTGTTCACCTGATTATCGAACCGGAGGTCGTTCTAAAAAAAAAAAACATTTAGACGGCCGTTTCCTGTAACTTCATATTCGAAAGGTGAAAGTTGTACAGTGGCGGAAGGCGCTACGGCACACTTGCCTAGCGGAACTCTCCATCCTAAGCATAGGTCCTTTATCTTTCTTGAGTAAATTAATCGGTGAGGGACTTCTGATGTGGGCGCGATGTGTTTGTGTAACACCTCCCGCGAGGTCCTCATTTAGAGTGCAAGTTTGAGCTGCAAGTGATTCCGACATCGTGTAAGCTCTTGGTGCACAACCAACATTGGCAGCTTTCTCAGAATGTTTATGTTTCGTAGGTAGTGAGCGCGACGCTACAACCTTTGAATGGAAGTGCAGTGCGTGGCGCATCCCAAAGGATTAATCGGTAACGAATACTTCATCCTGAAGCAACAGTCTTTCGGGGTTCTACCTTCGACATCTAATGGTGTTGAACGATGCGCTAGCCCAGTCAAGAACATAAGAAGTGTGACTGAACAAAAAACTCACTTTGGAAAGCGCGAAAGGGAGTTGAACGCCTTCAAAGTGGGCGTGTCGGCCACCGATCGTAAGCCCCTCTTGCCAGCCGTGGAGATCGCGTGATTGGCTGCGGAGGCATTTGCGTGGATCGTGGATTCAGTTCAAATAGTCTCTTTGATCCTAAATCGGTCGCAAATGCCTCCAAAGCCAATCACGCGATCTCCACGGCTGGCAATAGGGGCTTACGATCGGTGGCCGACACGCCCACTTCGAAGGCGTTCAACTCCCTTTCGCGGCTTTCCAAGGTGTTTTTTGTTCAGTCACACTTCTTATGTTCTTTGACTAGGGCTAGCGCATCGTTCAACACCATTAGTGTCGAAGGTAAGAACCCTGCTGGGACTGTTGCTTCGATTCTTTTGCTTTTACCCAACGGCTATCAATTTATCGTGGAATCTTCCTTCAAGAATGCTATAGTTTTCACATCTACTCAGCTGTTTTCTTGCAGTTTCCGTATTGTGATGGTGCACACTCGAAGCACAACAAGGAAACCGGTGATAATGTCGGTCCACTGGTGGTAAAAGGCAAACACCACTGAAGATGGTCGTCACCGTACCGTTCTAGTTGTTTTAGGTCACACATCCTTACAAGTAACAATTGTGATACTCTGTTTTTGTTCTTCTTGATAAATTTATGAATTAGTTGGCGAGTTTTTCGATAATCTCCTTTGCACGAATAAAATAATGTGACGACTTGATTGCCTTTAGTGGACGGTATTCCTAGAAAAACGTACAATAAGTCAAAGGCAGCGCTTACGCTAGGTTTAAATGGGGTTTAGAGGAGACGAGGGGGTCCTCAATGGTATCTTGGCGGCCAAGTAATTGCTCCGTGTGACGCAGGGTCTTCCCCGATGGGAAAATTCCTTTGCGTAATCGCTTCCTTTAACTCCCTCGTGTGCTCACAATGATTAGAAGGATGCAGTTAGAATCCAATAGCACCACGGTTTTGAAGAAATTAATCAAGTCTGTAAAAGCTCCTTCCCTTTTTAACATGGTTCTCTGCGATCCTTTAAATAATCCACTCAACGCGTATTCTCTGAACAACTCGTACTTCATCTACCGTACTCCTCCATCAGCTGCCAAAAAAACGAATTATTCACAGTTAAATACGGTTAGTCTTGAAGGGGATCTGCTCACCACGCACGCGGTCGAGGGATCGTATCCTGGGTGGTGCGTCGGGGCCAACCAACCCTTCCATCCCTGCGGCGTTGATTAATTGGTACAAGACTTGTCTGGATGGGTAACTCTAACATGTACATGGGCTGCCGGAATAGAATGTGTGCCGCATCCCCAAACGGGATTGATCAACGGCAAATGCTTTATCCTTATCCCTCATAGATATGATTGGATGACCTACTGGTAGACAACATACAGTATCTCACCTAGTGTAGCTAACGAATAGGTGGTTACTGTTACTTCACAACACGATAGCATTACACACGCTTCTTTTTCGAAAGAT